CACACTACTGACCTAGCCATTGCCAAGCTTTTGGGCAGCCTCAGGGCAAAGGAGAGTTTTAAACAGGAATGGAAGATGATAGAAAGACTCATCTGCAAAGAGCTGTGGAAGGCATTGTGAGAAAAAGCACAAATGTGTTAATCTGAAAATGTAGCACATGGGTGATGGAAGCTAGTACCAGAGGCTGAGAGGATGGAGGAATCATCTGTGCACTGACTGAGGGACTGAGAAGAATGTCAAAGATCTTGAAAGTGAAGAAAAGCAGCCTTTAGATGATGCAACCTTTAACAGACTAGAGTTGATGCAACGGAAAAAAAGGTATTGAACCACAGATTCATTCCTTCTCTATTTTTGTGTAGTCCTCTTCCATCTTAGATAACACCTTTTTTTTTTTTTTTGCATTATGTATCCTAAAACAGGATGCAGCATTGCAGTAATAATGTACAAGAGAACTACAGCTTGCTTATACATTTTACAAATTATACAGTTCATTAAAACAACTACAGACTATTAATTCTACAAAGTTAAGCACTCAACTTGGATAATGTCCTTATTAAAGCTATATATTTGACCTTGAGTGACTGTGGTGCATAGACACTGTTTTCAAATAATACAGTTTTTTTCCCAGTTCTTTAGATGCAGGAAACATACAGCATTCATAAATTCTTGCTTTTTCTTTATACTCATGTAGTGGTTTTCTCCCATGGCTTAGTTCAGCATATATCTAGCAGTTTAAAAATACACAGTTTTTTCATCTAAGAAAAACACATATTAAAAATTGTGAAATACTCAGACATTATAATTATCCTATTCAACAAAATTTACTTAGATGCAATGCAGAGGATAAAGTAGTTAACGATGCAGCTAAATTAGCTGATAAACGTGCAATGCAGCCCTCCTTAGGTGCAATCTAGGCCTGAAGCAATTAATCACAAAATCTACATAGCTATAACCTGAGGTTGGCCTAAATATTAAATATAATGCATTTTTCCAATCTTTCAATTTGGGTTTTTTTCCACTATCACTCTTTGTTATTATACTTAATGTGTACTGTGCAACCATAACACACATCATTTTCCACTCTACTTCTGTGGACTGGTTTTATGATACACCAGATATTACTGAGTGAAATATGCTTTCTTCAGTCAAAGATATCTTAACAATTCTCTGCCTTCATGCTGCCACTCACCAATTTTTTCCTTCCTTGTATTTTTTTTTTTAAATCTTTTTTTTTTCCCCAGATGTCATTTCATAGATTTGGCCTACTGAGTAGTATCTCCCTGCACTGGTGCAGGGGAGAAAAGACAGCTGTCATAGAAAACACATTAAAGAATTTATAACTCTACATGATTGTAAAGTACTATATAAAATATCGCACCACTTATGACGCCGTAAAAATCTGTTAACAATAGAAACTGATTCCCATATTACATACCACAAAAGAGAAAAATTAAGGTCTCACAGGCAATTTTGAGAATAAAAGATGTACCTATATGCAGAGATAATGGCTTTGAACTCATACCCTTGCATACAAGCATAGTGACCAGCTATTCACTACTACAGATCCCCAAAACTACTTCAGCCTCTGTGGTCTTCCTTGTACACGGAGCTAAAGGAAGGGACCACCACCTACTCAGCCCAGCTTCTCTCCCATTGTGCTGCTGTTCCTGACCTACTGTGTCATGTTTAACTATGAAAACTGAAAAGTTAACTCTTGAAGCCACATGCAGGCTACCTTCTAGTTGATCCTTAAATTATTCTTACTGTTAGAGTCCATGCAGGTTTTAAAACCAAAATTTTGAAGCTCTGTCTTCCCAGAAGTTTGAAATATGCTGATAATAGCGTGTACTGATCAGTCTGAAGTTCTCTGATGCAAAGTCCACTAAAAAAACTCTTGCATGCCTCAGAAATACTACATGATCCTTCACATTCTTTAGGTTGAATGATGTGTAAGAAACAAAAATTCAAGCCCATGTCCTTTGCCATTTATGAGTTTAGCATGAAAACGTTTCATTGCTATGTTGCAAGAGACACGTATAGTAAAATGTAAAAACACACTTTATACACTGATGGATATTAATTTAAATTTTTCTGTTCTCATATCTGAGCTGTGTTGGTTATACCGCTGCTCAAATAAACCACAGTGTATGGAGATTCAGCACCATTTCTTCCACAGAATAAGCACAGAAAGTGACCAGATACTGAAATTCTCATCCATGAAATCTTTCTGACTGCAAATAGGATGTTAAACATGGAACCAAATAATCCTTCTCCCCTGACATTTTTAGTACATTGCCTAACTGATATTATCGTAGCATGAGTAATGCCCATTTCTTTTGCTTTTAAACTAGATCCTTGTGCTGTGATCTTTCATGTATTGCTCTTAAGTGTCCTTACACACATTACAGTTCAGCACACCGTCGTTTGGCACCTTTGTTTCAGAAACAAATACATTCTTATGTGATCTACAGTGACAATCTATAATTTACCTGCTTGAATTTGTTCCAATTTTCTAAACTCTCCAACATCTCAGATTTTACTTTATCGTCTACTCTTTATAATCCGTTAGTGTAATAGTGGCAAGTCTGACAGGTGTAAGATTCAGCTTGTATTGTAGGTCATATACAAAGACATCAGATATCAGTGACTCTAACTAGCTACATTCTTAAACTGTTCCAGGCTTGCTCTGTTAAGGCCAGCTGATTTCTGAACGGAATATAAGGCTCTTACAGTGGTTTAAGTGAAAGGGAAAAAGTGAGACTGAATGCAATCTTTTCACCATTATTATCCAATTCAAACAAAGTACATTTTTTACCTGAAAAATTTTACTCACATTCTGGGATTAGAGTAGTGAGAGTATAAAATATATCTGTTTGGCAAAGATACCCAAATCTGCTCCTCTGTATGCAGCTATTTAAAATTCAGTGTAATTTAAAAAATCACTTTAATATTATGAGAAATGGCCAAGCACTGAAACAGAAATAATAAAGAAGACAAATTAAAACAATAAACAAAGCTGTGAGATGAGTGTGTGAGCATGTGATAGTATGTGTCAGGCTGGGCTAGCTGGTGGTGACCTGCAGAGCAGTTTAGAGGGCCCAGGATCCAGGCAGGTGTATGAGAGAGGCTGGGGCCCTGTGCTGGTATTCGAGGGTTCTGTGATGGTTCTTGTGAACCTAGGAAGTGAAGGCATGTGTGTTTTTACTAGTGAAATTCAATTCCAACCAGTCAGAGGAACATGACTCTACTTGGGTTTTATGTGGCAAGGTTATTCATGGGTGTTTTAAAAGGCAGTGCCCTGTCTGTGGCAAACTCTGTAGTCAGCTTTGTGAGTGTGTCCCTGAGATAGGTGCTTAGCCTTGCTATTGGCTGAATCTAAAACATGAAAACTGCAGTCACCTCAGCCTGTGTAGGATGGAGAGTCATCCAGCCTGGGATTCAGATGACAAGTAGAAATCTCCACATCCTTGGGGTCCACTCAAGGCAGCAGCCTTATAACATCCACAGTTGATTACAGTATCAGGAAATGAAGACACTACAGTTGTTTGTACAGTCCTAATTTGACCTGGTTTGTATTTGTGTTTCAAATTATTGTCTTTAATTACACGATCTCATCTATTTTTTCATATTCAGTGTATAGCACAGATGCTTACTTAATGAGTTGCCGAATATCCTTTCTGTGTTGTTCCTAGGCCTCATTTACTACACGACATTCAAACTTTAAACTGAGGATGAAGTGATTAATTTCCTGTGTCAATAAATTATCTAGGTGTTTCATGTTCAAGTGATATTTTCTTCATTCTCCAGGTATGGGACTGAGGCACAGAGCATCTCAGTGAAAAGTCACAGCTACTGTTCAGTGCCTATGTGTTAGCAAGTCAGGAGCATTAAAACAGGGAACACACTGTTAGTTTCTCCTCTGCAAAGTCTGGTTCAAATATCTTTACTGGCAGATACACACCTAACTCAAATTCTCCAGAGCCGCACACATCTGCCTTAGCCATAAGACCATTTTTACTGCATCTGCAATCCTTTGACATGTTATGGAACCCCTTTTAACATCTTCAATTAATGAGAAAGAGGTATGATTGTATTTTTATTACACATTTTTGAGCATCATGAAAAACAATGCCTTGAAATACGATATATCAGGCAATATAATAAACAAAGCAAAAAAATCCATGCAGTGTTTATAGTCTTGTCAGTAATATATCTCCAAGCACATGTTGGGGGAGGTAAATATGTTGTCCCCATCCTATTGATGAGGAAGCTAACACAGTAAGATGTGAGAAATGGTTTGCTCTGTATCGCTTATCAGGTGAATGACTCAGTTGACAGAAGAGCATCTCACTTATGAAGCCTTTTTTTCTGCAGAATTCCAAAACATTTTACAGTCATTTATATTATTTACTGTATCATCTACACATGGATCAATTCAGTTTCAGAAAGACTACATAGTAATCAGTGAGAACCTACTCCCATAATTCTGCAGTCAGTGAAGCCCATCGGACTGTAACAGGCTGGGTCATGGAACAGCTCTGAAAATGCCAGCCAAGTTTCTGCATAACTGTGAACAGTACCTACATGACCCACATGTAGAAATTGATCTGTTTCGATAATATAGTAGTTTATTCAGTAAAAAAACATTCCTCATATATACTGCTGCTTAGATTTAAATATAAAAATATATTTCTGTTTTTCAGGTAAACATATATATCAGATAAACAAGAAAAGTCAAGAAATAAAACTTTCAGAAAGGAACAATCAATTTATAAAAAAACCCGAAACTAACTATACTTCTTAAACAAAATACTTGATGCAGACTTTTTCATTCCAGATAACTTCCTTATACTGAAGTGAACTGTACACACCAATGCAGCTGAAGACTTAGGACACATAGCATATGCATATACTTGACCAACCAAACACAAAAAACACATGTAGTTATACCCTGTTTGTTGTCTTCCAGAGTTTGTAACAAAGAAAAATGATCCATTTACCTGAAGGTGTAGAACGTGTATTGAGACTGCTCTTCCTGAACAATTACTACTTGGTTAAGAGTTTGTATATTACATTTTAACCCTGTGTATATGGACACAGGCAAGACTTTATTTCCTGTTCTTCACAGGAAGGATATCTGTAATCCAGTAGTGAAACAGAGATGTGACTATCTTGGTATGATCTGAAACAAAGAAAACACATTCCTCCTGAAATACATCTATGACATTTCTGAACACTAAAATAAAGACTTGTGTGAACCTCTGTTCCATTCAGTATTACCATTTCAGTAAAAACAATGCAGGTATTGAAGCCCAAGGACTAACACTGATGAATTTCTAGATAAACAGGTACATTTTCTTTTAGGAGGTCAGTTATTTTTATGAGAAACAATTTTGGTTCTCTATTTTGGAATGTCCTATTTGTTATGATTCAATAATTCAGAAAAAAAGGAGATCAAAATGACATGATCATATGGATAAGGCTAAAAAAATCTTCTCTACTTCTTTTTGTCTGGAGAGTAATTTCACACATTATTATTTAACTTAGAGTAGCACCTAGAAGTCTCAGCTGAGAATGAGTCGTCTTGTACAGACAGCTGCAATAAAGTCTCAAAATGCCACTGCTTCTGCCTTAATTCAGAGATTATCTATGTGACTTTTTTTTAATGACAGGACTTTCTACAGCACTTATCACATGACATCACATTTAAGATGATTCTATAATGTTATGCTAATATAGCTTTCACATTTCATTTCCTTTTCTTTAAATGTTCATTCATTCAAAAAAAAAAAGTTTAAATTTAATCATTTGAGGGCCTCTGCATATCCAGCCTATGCATTGTTGGCACACTGTAACTGTATTACTTCTGGTCTGCAAAATGTACCCCTCCCACCCCCCACAATGGAGACATATATAAAGGACAACTCTCAAGAAAAAAACCAAACCAGTTAAAATAAGCTTCTAGCTCTTCTATGAGTGATAATTTCCTAGGCAACAAGGGAAGAGTATATTTAAGACCTGATCCTAACCAACAAAGGGAAAATGTTAATAGATAATGGAATGAAGTTGATGAGTAGAAGCTGAATGAGTTCATAAATTAGGAGGTAATGACTTTTTTTTAATTAGCCAATCACCTATGCTTTAATAATTGATGTGAAGTGGGAATTAAGCAGCTCTCATTTAAAAAGCTACTGTTTCCAACCATCAAATGGAGCATTACTTCTAGACACAGCTCTTCTTTGCCCACTGCACTGTGCAGGACCATGAAGGCGTCTGGTTTCCTTTTGCAAATGGCCACTGACTTTCCGACAGAGATCAGACAAGCCTCCATCATGAGAAATGCGTGTCCATTTGACTTCTAAACATTCTCTTCTCTACACTTATAGAAGACTTTTGGTAGAGGTAAGTACTTTTTGTTAAAGACTACCAAATAAATGGAAATAGCAATAGGACATTTTGTTCTTTTGTACAGTCTGAGAACAATGACACTTTAAATAGCCATGTTCAAGCAAAAACCTCAAATCTGTGTAATTGCTGAAGTACAAGGTCAAAGGTAACTTGATGGAGTAAATTGCAGCACAAAGTACAAGTTAAGTTGGTGGAGGATGACAACTGAACAGAGTAACCAGTATCTCTTAACCACAGAGATTTTAATGTTCAAGTATGTTTTCTCATTTAAATGAAGGGTTAAAGGTAATACCTTAATGCTGATAACTTTTCTGTTTCAATCTCCTTAGTAACTTCTTCTTCCGGCAAAATTTTTCAGACCCTTCCACCAACCTTGTTAGACCTTAATTTCATATGACTGGAAATATTTGAATCTAAGAGCTTAGGATAAAACAAGAGTTTTTTCTTCATTGTTTCTTTTTTTCTTTTGGTGGAACCATGATTCTCACTCTGAATAACATGTGTGTGTGAAAGAAATACCAAAACATGGTCTTGAACTAGTTTTTAATTTGTGGTCTGCAGACCTTGGGCAGTCCATAGCTTTACTCTAAAGGGTATGTAAAAAGTTACCGAGAAAAGCAAATTTATCAGCAGTAGGCATAAACTTGCCAAGTATTAAACTATAACACATATATATGATGAACTAAAAGATATATAATAGTACATTTACTTTGTAAAGTTGGAGAATGTGCACTTCTATGAGAGACAGATTACTTCTCATTTTCCCCCTACTCTTTACTTCTTGAATTAAAGATAAAACTGAACAACACATAGCACACATTATCAATCTTTTGATGCTGGCGTCTTAAGTAGAGTCATAATCATGGGAAAAAAACATACTGCTTCTTGAACTAGAGGGACTGAAATATGTTTATTTTGTAAAAAGAATACATCTTGCTAGAATTAAGAAAAACTGTTTTCTTTTCATCACGTTAATAAGGAACTACCTTTTCTTCTAGTACATCATACCGTAGTAAAAATAAACAAAAGAGAAAAAAGGCAAGATAATCAAACTTGTAAAAAAAAGATTACTATGATATAATGTAAACTTTCAGCTTAATAAACAGCCTTAGCCTGTATTTCTATAACAAGAAGTTGAATTTGCTAAGACAAGTTTCGTAATAACGCTTAACTTTTATCACTGTTCATTGGGAATGAAATCTAAAGTTTAAAAAAACTGGGTAAGATGACCTATTTTTGAGCTAAAATTGGGAAATAAGTATAATTAAAAGCCTAATTCAAGATAAAATTTCAGAGCACTATATTCTTTCACAGAAATTCCTGAATTACAAATATAATGTATTGTTAAACTCTGCTGAGGCAAATTAATATCTAGCAGGTCTTTAATTATCCTTTAATAATTTATAACAATGTATTTTCTTCTTTCTTATGTTGTTGTACCTCATGAATACCAAATCAGTTATTATGGCTACACCACTGTGAACTTGGAATGAGATTAGAATTGAGCCCAGTGACAACAGGAAGAAAAATCAACTGGAAGAGTAAACAATTTCAGGCTGTACCAGCAGAAACATTAAACAAATTTCAAAAATCACTCACAAAACTGTCTTCTGCTTTTTCAAGTGACAAATACATCAGAAAATTAGGGTACTTGCATGGATTTGTTTCTAATTCGCTTCTGTTTTCTTTTCTCACTTCAGTTTGACATTTCTGATATATAAAAATAAACAGAGAGCTTGCCTCGAGGCTGCAAAACCCAACAGAATTCCTACTGGATTGAGTAGAATTTGGATAAGGCCTGTAAGGAATATCCTGAATGTAGTCACTTCAACAGTTCCATTGATATAATCAGCTGAATTAGGTCATTTCATAAAGGGCCAATACCATTACCACTATTCCTGCTGAGTCCTACTTAGTTTGCAAATGTGTATTGCATCCAATGAGACTATCTGATTATAATTAAGATCACAGAATGTACGTTTGAAATTAATTATTGCATGCACAGAAGGATTTTGTTCCACATACATGGGGATACTTCAGATCTATCAGAACCTTAAGGGTTGTCATATTCCGTATCTACATGTTAACCAGTACATATTTACTTCTGTAAGTGTCCTTTTCAAAATGCATCAGCTATGAACTGTACAGGCAGGAACTGGGTTGGAAGGGACGTTAAAGATCATCTATTTCCAATCCCCTCCCACTAGATGGTTGCTCACAGCCCCGTCCAACCTGGCCTTGGACACTGCCAGGGAGGGGGCAGCCACAGCTTCTCTGGGCAACTTGTTCCAGTGTCTCACTACTCACACAGTACAGAATTTCTTCCTTACATCTAATTAATCTAATCTAATCAAATCTAATCTGCCCTATTTCAGTGTAAAGCCATTACCCTGATAAAGTGTTACTCCCTGAAAAAGACTCCCTCCCCATCTTTCCTGTAGCTCCCTTTTAGTTACTGGAAGGCTGCCTTAAGTTCTCCCTGGAGCCTTCACTTCTCAAGTCTGAACAACCCCAACTCTCTCAGCTTGTGCTCACAAGGAAGGTGCCCCAGCCACCTGATCATTTTCGTGGCCTTCCCCTGGATCCACTTAAATTCTCTCTTTTCTGTGTTTTTACAACACACAGCATGCGGTAGGCTCCAGTCTTGACTGGGATCTTTAACCACTACCATGCTGTAAATCATTTAGTGATGTCACAAGCATAGTGTCTTCTTTGAATGTTACTGCTAAGCCTCTGATGGCTATGATCTTATTTACTCTGTTACCACACTACTACCAGCTCAGTCATTACTCTTCGAAAGACTTTGTCCTTCAAAATACCAAAATGGTTGAGAATCTCTCATGTCATAACAAGTACTCTCAACACTGAATAAATTATTTGGGAAGCAAGAAAATTCAGCACATCCTGAAGCTGCAACAGAAGTACTAATGACAAGGAACAATGTGTTTAAGTGAAGACTACTTGGAAATTGAATTATTATACCTTCTATGGACTACATGCTGATCCCACATTCAATTGAGGAACTATTAACTGTCCAAGAAAAATTCTACTTAAATTATAGGGGTAACAGAGAAGAAAAGGAGCATAAATGAAATCCAACTTGTGCCTCAGGGATGAAAAGATTTAGTAACAAAATAATTTTTGTTTTTATGAATGACTTCATAATATCGTTTATTGTAAAAAGTGACTTTATGTTTTTACATAATCAACAGCATTTTTAAGAAACTTAAACCAGACAATTGTATGTAAACAAAACCAAAGTTGTAAATCAAACTTTGGCATGCAAGATTTATGTGTTAAAGAAGCCACATAGGCGACCAAGAAGAAATGAAATAATGGGTTTTATTGATTCATATGCAAGTAAAATTAATCCTTAACTGGATGAGTGAAATCTCCAAAATAAACAAGTTAATTTATGTGATTTAAAAAGTCTACAAAGAAAATGAATTCAAAATATGCTTTAAACATGATTAAATCTTAAAACAGTTAAGTTTTTAAAAATACTGGTGTAAGAACCTGAATCATCTTGTACTCTATGGTTGCTGCAAAGTGAAAAGTTTCTATATTGATTTCAGCCAAAGAAGAAACAGGGAAAATCACTATATTTTTGGTGGGAATTATGCTTTCAAATCTTGTATAAGCATACATTTACCACTACATAATTATTTACAGCTTCCTAATAAAAAAACCCTGTGACAAATCTGAATTTTAATCCACACAAAAAAGAACATGAGTGTATGAACAAAAGTGAATGGTACCTACCAGGAGGCATCATGGATTGTTCTTGGAATTGTTTCAAAGCATCCTTCAATCTCTCAATATCCTGTAGCAATAAAAGGGATTTCAACTGATGTAGAAGAGTCACATCTGAGGAAGAGATGGTGCGAGATTCAAGGTATTGTAAAAGCTCTTGGGCAGTTGCTGAACTTACTGCAGAATCCATGCATTCTGATTTATCTGGGTAAACAAATGTAACAACAGATTAAAAATATTCAGTGAGCACAGAAAAGTTTCCTAATTAAACTTTCTTTTCAAAGACAGCATCTTTCTTTTTAGTACAACTGACAATCAAATATCAGATATTAAAGAGCAGCTTGCTCCTCCCTTTTTTTGTTAAATATTAAAACAATGGTAAGAGGGGAAAGTATCAAATTCAAAAGGTAAAAAGGACAATAGGATTCATAGTGACAGGAATGCAAGTGGAATCTAAATTTTCAAGATTAGCACAGGAAGTAGGTGTGATGAAGAAACTGTACTGTGCCCAAAGCACTGTGTTTTGCTTCCTATACACTATATATTATAAAAATGCAGACATGTGGAGATAGGGAACAACTCTGTGGAACTACTGCAAAGCACTTCCGGAGGCATCCGGAATTATCTTATTATTGTACTTTTACGTTTTTTATTTTAATAGCATGTATTAGGGCATACATGACAGCAGAGGAGGACATACATTGTTTCTATGGTACTAAAGCATAAATTCACTCTTCCATTCCAGTAACAATGTACAGTCCATCCCTTTAACCAGACTCCCTTTAATTCTTCAGGTTTTTACCAGCAAGCCAACTGAGAAGAACACATTTATCCTGATTCAGCTTTCTGACATAAGTACAAGAAGTATAATCCAATGTGACCATTTGAAAATGCTGCTGAAAGCAAGGTCTTCCAATTTTATCTAAAAAAAATAGTGTTAAAGTCACACAACTAGAAAAGGCAAACAGCATAATGTCAGATCTATATATAACTGGGATTTGCCTAACAAGAAAGTTAGTCATCCTCTGATTTATGGATGTGACATCTTATCTGCAGATGAACTTCCTTTTACCTGAGAATTTGTGAATTCCAAGGTCCTCACTTGCTCAACCCCTGGATCTGTAGGTTTGACACCAGGGCCAGTCAGTCAACCACTGCTAAAACCTGAACTTGACTCCCAGGAAACTTGAAATCAACACTTTTTCTTAAAATTCAACATGCAACACAGCTGTGGACAATTGACCAGGTTTCTGTTCTGGGTCATTTATTAACAGCAGAACTGTTAACTGAGTTTGCAATCTTGCTCAGTTACTCTGGAGTTCCACTACAGTAAACGCATGTATCAGCTTCCATTTACTTAGCCATATACTGAAGTAGTAAAATTCTTATTTTTGGTGATGGAAATACATTAACCAGAAAGTAGGATGGATTTCCAATGCTAGGCTTAGTATGAAGACCTGACACAGCAGAAAAATGTTAACAGTAAGCAAAGAAAATTCTATATATAAATCTTGAGAAAAAAATTAACATGAAATCCCTGATGTCATCTTAACAGGGTTTTAAAAGTAATTCTGTAGTCTAAAGATGAATTTTATGGGACTAGGAACTGACAGCTCTGACTTCAGATGGACTCATGCAGGTAGGTAAGATGTTTAATAATCTTTATTCACCTCAACCGACAGTCAAGGCCATGCACTTTGAAAAAGTTTTCACTGCATTTTTCAGGCCATGCACTTTGAAAAAGTTTTCACTGCATTTTTCCAGTTTTACAAGACAGTTATCATTTCAGAGCTATGTTCTGAACTGAGGAATGAAGAATACACCAGCTTTTCTTAAGAAAACGTATTTAATTCTAGATGATACCAACATAATCTGGTGTATGTTATCTCATTATCTCTGAAAGACATTTATGACGTAAGCACCACAGAAGCAGCTTTTCAGGAAGGCAATTGAAGAAACATATAGTAGGAATTTCTCTGATTTTACTGGCCAGATGAACATTCAATAGGTCATTAGGAACAACATCCATGCAATGTTTTTTAAAGTGCTAGGGAACGTTCATTGACCATGAGTTCACATTCATCTTCTTCACAAGTGCTTTACGCCAACACACTTTCCCAGTGCCAACAGTGTCTTCTCCTTCCCCTTTCCTCTTGGATGCTATCTGTCTAGATTTCCACATATATTACAAATAAATCTCCTGGGAAGGAGAACTTTCTGAAAAGTAAGTTGGTTCAGAGATAGTAAGCATGAAAGTAGTTAGGATAGCAATTATTGCCCTCATTTGAAGCTCAGAGAAAAGAAGAATTTGGTCCATTTTAACCACTATATTTATCCTAAGTGCATTAGAATGTTTTTTAAAAGAGCAAGGAATATTATGTATATTTTCAAAGACAGAGAAACAATGAGATTAGGACCACAGTTTTTATACTGATGTGGATTCTTACATATTCATGTACACACCAGAAAATGGGACAAATAATAAGTCCTTGCATGTCTTACTGAGTTTAAGAGGCACTTCTCTAGTAGATCTGGCCCATCCTACAGCAATAATAAGGCACATTTATTTGCCCCTACAAGGTAATACTCATGAAAAGAAAGGAGAAAGAGTGGTACATACTATCAGCAAAATAAATTTGTTGTGTTGCCTGCAGGAAGTCCCGAATGCTATCTGCCTTTTCATATATATCTTTTAATCCTTCTGCTTCTTCTCTGTTGTTTTTGTCAGGCTGATATGTAAAATCCACACCGGTAGTTTTTGTTACTAATCCAGCTGCTCTCATTTTTTCTTTCTGTCGCTTCTTTTTCATTTTCCTCTTCTTGTTTTTGCTTATTTTGGGACTGCCTATCTGCTGCAGCTGTAAATTATCTTGAACAAGAGTCTCTTGCATTCCAGATTCTGTTTGTTCTTCATGTAAATTATTAGAGTTTTGCAAACTGCTCTTTTGTTTCTTCCTTCGAATGCGCTTTCTCTTGGTTTGTCCTTGATATTTCTCCTCTGCAGATTCAAAAGAGACATGATAGTTGTAAATAAGAAGATCTGTAATAGGCATTTTGGAACTGCATACAATAAAACACTACTCCCTTCAAATTCTGGGATGTCTGAGTGGTTCCAGCTTTACTTTTATGCTTAGAATGCCTTTCAGTACTACAATGTCAAAGCCAACTCTTCTGAATGCGTTGAGTAAGAAGACAAGTTATTTTCCCTTTTGCTTTCAATAGACTGTACTCTCCTTTGTGCTACATACTTTACATGACATCTACTTTCTTAAGGCAGGTAATATGGTTCTATACAGAGAGTGAGGTTAAAAGAATCACCAAGGCAAAAACCAGTATGGGCAGGTTGGTAGAGAGAGAGCTCCCACAAGAGCCCCACACCACAGCTGGATTGACTTCACCAAGAACACAAGAATGCATGTAATTCACAATAAAAGATGACAGTGCTTATATCAATGATATTCCTCCATAATAGTGCTGTGCCTTAAAAACACCAGGCATCTGTTTCTGATTTTTCTACTTTCTCCTCCTTAAAGATATGTTACTGCTAGCTCAGCTTTGGACATCAACTTTATAGGGAAAGCATGCAAGGCATCAGTGACCTTGGCAAGTAATCTCTGATCTCTTTAACAGGCAGTCTTGGTTCTCTCATTCCCTTGCTACATTTTAATTTCCTTACTAACTAATTCTTCAAAAGGCTCAAATGTCAAGGGAAAGAAGTCCCTCTTGCTCTCCAAGACAGCTTTCATGCTTCTTAACTCAGATCTTATCCCTATACACAGAGTTCTAAAGTCATCTTTGACCCTGAACTAACTGCCTCTCCCACACACTCACTTCTTAGTGTAAGCCCTCCTGACACTAGCAAGGGAAGACTGCCAGAATCCATCTTCCCTTTGACTGCACTGCTGCCAAAGAACATACTCATGCCTATAATTCCTGTCTAATTAACTGAAATTCCCTCTTTCACATTCCAATAAAATCCTCACACATTTAAACATCACAGAGTGCAGAATGCCAGTGTTCTTCTAATGTCTTGCTCTAGAAAGTTAAGCCATTTATCCTTCCCTCAACCTCTACCTGCATGTTTCTAAATTCCTCACAGTGCACTGAGCTCAGTGCTCTTATTTACCTGGTTTTACACCATTATTTACCTGGTTTTAAACCATTCTATTAAGAGTCAAAGAATCTTTGCTTGGCACATATTTGTGTAATGCAGGGGAGACACCTGAAGCCCAGTGCTTGTTTCCGAATGATCTCCATAGTCTCCTGAACTGCCACTGACATTCTCAGCTTGTTTGGCTTCTCATCACTCCTCTCACTACTGTCCTCTCCCAGTCTTTGCCTCTATGTTCTCCGTGGTTGGAGACCCTCTATTTCAATTCAGTTTCTTTTTCTGTCTTGAACTCTGTCAGCTTGAGCCACTTTCTCTCTTTAAATATCACTACTTTTAGTTCTTTAGATGACAGATGACTCACTGCAAAGCAATTTTCCATACTTTCCATGAAGAAGGCTGCACAAAAATAAATTTGCTGTATTGTAATTGAACACCACAGCATGTAAAAGACACACCAAACGTCACCTTGTACCCACAGTGTGGAATGTTTCGCATGCATGGTATTTGAGCTAAATATCTTTATACATGATCTGGACATATGGGATGTGGGAAAAATAACGTCTGTGTCGTTCTGTAGGCATAAAATATCAAACTGAAGGCAGATATGAATGGTGAAAGATGCTATAAACAAAACATCAATGTTTCATCTTAAGATCTAATTTGGATTTTCATGGGAGTATTTATGTTATAATAGGTGAATTTCAGTGTAAACACAGTTATATTGTTCCATAAAATTTGTCAGCCCCTGTTAACCTGAACCACACTGTTTGCTAATAAAACTACTCTAATCTTATGCTCTCAGCAAAGTGGCCCAACGTGCTCTTTAAGCATCCAAGAATCACTAAATCTCAGCAAAATTACAGCATGTTGTGCAGCCAAGCACCCTCGATTGGTTTGAAGCCACTTGAAAAACATGGTGCAGAAGGCAGAACAGGGCTTAAGATAATTGATATTTTGAGTCAAATCCAGAAGTTTGCTTATCCTTGATAGTTCAGGACAGCAGAAGGTCTCGAGAGACCAGGGTAAAGTTGTGAAAAGACAGAATGAATGTAGTCATCTCATGTGTATGTTATTATGATAAATACCTGAGTGAAAGGAAATCAGAACTGTGCTGAATTTCCTCCAACACAGAAAACAAATCAAGCACAAAACTTTACCCAGTTCTCTTGAGGAGTAATACTGGCAGTCCTTTGCAGTTTTTGTCATTCTTTATCCCATATTTTAATATCTCTTTAGTATATACTGCTTCACGTGCAGGAGCTACTAGTGATTCAACATCAGGAACAGATGAAATTAAATGTTGACAAAGAAATGCACAGAAAAGGGATTAATTTGAACAATTTACTGCCAGGGTTAGAGTGAACTGTTATCAGCTCAGAAAAAAACAAGACAAAACCCAGACCTGTGCATCAGTATGGAAAACTCAATGAAAACATTTGCTCAGTGGGTATCAGTGATCAAAACAGCAAACAGCTTGTTTGCATACATAAGACAGAGGATGGAAAATAACAGGAAAAATATTCCTAAGGTATTATACAGATGTTGTACCCTTCGAGCCTGTAACAAGCCTGTTTCTTAGCATAATTCCAGCACAGTAAGACTTTGGCAGACAAGTGGAGGACTGTTACAGAAGTTACAAGGGAAAGAAACCCCAAAAAGATTTGTATGGTTTGACTTGAATGAAAGAGTAATAAAATGGTCTCTGTTTCTACCTCCTCATGAAAGAACAAGGTGACTTCTAATCAATCTGAGCAGTTTCACAAGCAAGTAGAAGAAAATAAATACTTATTTTATAAATGGTACAGTTAGCTTACCAAATTCACATATGCACAGGAGCCAAGAGCTTAATGGGATTCAAGAACTGGTTGCTTATACAGTCAGCAAGGCTACCTGATTATAACAGCTATGCTAAAATATGAGTTGTACAAGAAATATAAACCTGACACAACTGTAATGTTTAGGTCACAGCCCACAAAATAATTTTAACAAATGAAATGTTCAGTGGAATTCACCTTCCACAGCTTTAGCTCTCTGGACAAAAAATAGTGCATGCTTAGACCTATGTTCCCTCTGAAAAACCAAGAGAAGCTAGCATCTTCAGAAAGCAATTTACCTCATCCTAAACCAGCTGGTATGGAAATGCACTCTAAAGGTCTTCTCTCTCTCTCTCTCTCTCTCTCTCCCTCTCCCTCTCCCCTTTCATTAACTACAAAGGAAATGTAGACAATGAATTTGGACTAGATTTGCAACAACTGAGAAGAATTAATCTCTTTTACAAAAATTAACAGTATGGAGGAAGGTGCTTTACAACCTGAGTCTACTCATCAGACTGATCTTTACCAATCAACAAAATTCACTGTTTTATGAAAAAACCCACTTTTGACTGATTCTCTGTATTTCAAAGCAGTAGGCAGGCCTGACAAAATTTCAATAGATATGAACTTGGTTCCAATAAATTTTCCCACTGACTGAAGACGTTTGTTATGTAAAAGCAGCATAATTATAACAAATGCAGGGAATACATGCTACACAAACAATCTGAGTAGGGCACTGAATACATACGTAAGCAATGTTGATAAAAACCTCAGCTTTTGGATCAAACTAACTATAGTCACAACTGCAGCTGCAGCTTGTTCTAATTCCACAAGAGCTGCTTGATTCTTCTTCTGTTCCACAATGGCCTGTCACCTTTCTCCCTCCTAAAACCCATCTCTGCTCCACAAGTGGTTTAATTTATCACATAATCCAATAATCCAGAACCAACTGTCTTTAACTTGTTTAGTCTGGACTTGGTGCCCTCTCAGACTGAGTAAAGTGGCTTCCAGACAGAATGCCCATATACATTTTTCAGCCACGGTCATAATTTCATAAGCATTTCTTTCAGCCTTAATAAGAACATCCTCCTCAGGAACTGTTCACAGTTAAAAATAACTGTGGGTTTTGTTTTTTCTTCCTGGATTATTTTTAGTCTAGATTACTTTGCTGATGCAGTTTACCATGCAGCTGCACAGTCACACTAGCTTGACTGACAGAATGCTATGGAAGTGGGAATGAGTAGCTCAAAAAAGGAAAGTCAGCAGCAAAAGAAAAACTCATCTTCTAACAGCCTATCTCATCTGGTCTGAAACATTAAGAAGTTTTCTTTGTGCAGACTGAAGGTCTCCTTAACAAAACAGAGGCAAAAATACATCAAAACCCAGACAAAATTAAATAGAGGACTCAGTTTATAGACACTGCTTATTGAATTTTGATAATGAAAAGTCAGCACATCCAGTTTATATCTTCAAGGAAAAATAGAAAATAATAAAAATAATGATTTACATCAAGACTCTGAATAAGCTGACTTTTATTTATTAACTTCTATTATATTAGCAAGTTATTTTGTATTCATCATCACAGCAGCTGGAGACACAAATAGATTAAATACAAAGCTTAATATAAGCTAACAGCAGTTCCTTCCATCCAGACTAACCACCAGCATGAACACATTGCTGGCAACTCTGTGACTGAAAAGATGAGCTTCCTCAAGTTTATCTTCATTATTTCAGTTCCTTCAGACAATAGCAGATGGAAACATTCAGGGGAAGTGTCACAGAAGACAATGAAAAAATGGAAAGCTATTTCCTTACGTGTCTGAGGTATACAAGTCCCACAGCATGTCAAACTGAAGTTTGGCTTTGAGTACCTGAGAATAAGCTGATGATACTAAGGATCTTTAAAAATCAGGTCCCTAAATATTATTACAACAAACCTTTAGGACAGAACATTTAATTAAAAAAAAAGGGGGGGGGGAGGGGGGGGGGGATAAAGTGGGCTGAGGAAAAGATAGTCAAAGAATATCCTCTGAGCTTTAGAAGTCTCCTCTATAATGTACTCATCATAGCTGA